GTTGTTGTTGTTATGTGCCATGGAGTCGGTTCTGACTCATAGCGACCCTGTACAGGGTTTCCGAGGCTGTAAATCTTTACAGGAGAAGAAAGCCTCATCTTTCTCCCGTGGAACATCTGGTAGTTTCGAACTGGTGACCTTGCGGCTCACAGCCCGATTTGTAACCACTTCGCTACCAGAGCTCCTTAAGTTACAAATTAGGGTTCCAATTATTTAGGGGGATGAAAAGATCCCATCTTAAAATATATAAATATTATGTTGCTGTTGTTATTAAATGCCATTGAGTTAGTTCTGACTTATAGCAACCCTGTATAGGGTTTGAACCTCCAACTTTTTGATCAGCAGTCCAGGACTACAGCACCATACCAGGACTCCATATAAATATTATTAGTGTTATTGTTGTTGTTGTTGTTGTTAAGTGCTGGCAACTGGATTCTGACTCATAGCAACACTGTATAGGGTTTCTGAGGAATGACTGGTGAGTTTGAACTGCCAACTTTTCAGTTCAAACAACCTTGCAGTCCAGTGCATTAACCTGCAGCACCATACCAGATCTCCATAAATACTACAGAGACACTTTATTAAATCTTAAGCAGAAGTAAAATTAAGACAAAACATATCTAGATCACCCAGGTGAGGGAAACTATCAATATGATTCCAAAGTTCTACCTCAACATGGTGGTCTGTTATCACGAGAACAAAGGAATCTCCCACCACAACCATGACTCAGTGACAGCAGCAAGGCATTGCAGATGCACACCTGACCTACATAAGCAGGGAGGGGATGGTTGTAAATAGGAAAGCTTACAGGCTCTGTCTGAGACTTCCACAGTATGAGGTCACAGCCAGGTGACCCTACAGCCATCAAAGCCCTTGAAAGGGACTTCCTGTTCTTTTTGTGCTGTCTGGAGAATGTGACCCAAAACCGACTTTTCAAATATACTGCTTTTTACTTTGGCACTTTGGCAGTCAGAGTTCATGAGGAACTCAAGAAAAATTGGCATCTGAGCACTTAAACCTGGGCACAAGAGAGAACTAAGCTCTGCCTGGCTGGAGTTATCTCAGGCAAAATGCCTTCAGATTCTGAGATAATTTTATAAATAATGGATATCAGACATTTGTTCAGTACACACTATGAACCTATCATATGAAAAGATTGATTCCAATGTGATGGTGGTGTTAGTCCTTACAAAACAAAAGGATATGCAAATGCACATTAAAATACTGGAGGCTTCAATTCAGCC